CACTGTTTGGTTAATGAAGACAAAACTTAAACTAGGAGTAAAAGTCTCAGAGTTTCTCAAAGTTTTCAGGAATTTGACTAAAGTGGCTATGCAGAGGCAGAAAAAATCAGTCTGTTCCATGTTCTTCATGAGAAAACAGTAGAATTTTATTCTATGTTGTTTAGCAACTGCCTCCTTCAGTTTAAAATAAGATGGTTTGGAAATAACATTTTAGTTGTCCTTTTCTAAAATAATACAACCACATAATTCTAAATAAATCTTAGTACAAAACATGTCATTAATATTATTTTTTCATTGTATAGAACTATTAAGAAATATTTAAAGACAGAAGCAAGGTAGCTGGTTAATAGCATAATTAGTGTTTTTGTTCTGTCATTCCAAATTATGTTTTTAATATATGATGCCTTTTCTCATATTACCATCAATATGCTTTGTGATATTTTTTTAATTTGTCATTTTTATAGACATGTATTTTGTGATGTATGTATTTATTTGTGTATTTTGTGTAAAATTCCCAACTGACAGTTGAGCTGTCCCCTGAAATTTAGTTTTGAAAGGTCTTATTGCATCTTTGCCAGGCATAGCCAGGCATAAATTCAACAATCTCAACTGACTAAATGCACTCTAAACTAAAGGCCACAATATGGTTAACTAAGCCACAAGTTTTAGGACAACTTGCAAGGAGAACTTTGAAAATATGGTTGAGTTTGAGCTATTGCAATGAGATTTCTTGAATCTGCAAATGGTCTCGAATAATTATTGTTCTGAGTCCACAAGCGTACCCTAAGAACTAATGAACTTAAACCCATCATATGAGCCCCTGAAGTTTTCCTCTGTGGGTATCTGGAGACCCCTCCCAGGAGAGCTGGACCCCATGTCTTCCTTCAGTCCACGTGGAGCACATGAGGTGGAGTTTGGCAACCACGGTCTCGGTTCCTCTCAACAACTGTACTGAAGCAGAATGCTTCACTGTTTTCTAGTTCTTTCTTACCTCTGTTTTGCTGAGATGAGACCTCAGTGTTTCGTGTGAGACTTTTATTCTTCTAGATGGTTGCTTTATTGCTGTATCCATGACCCTAGCTGGTCGAATTGCTTTGGAGAGGGCCGTATTCCTGAAATCCCACTTGAGTAAATTGTTCAAGCGTTGGACAAGGTGAGAAGAGGAGGATAATCAAAGCAGAGATAGCAGTTCCTGTATTCCCAGTCCCTAACAAATCCTTCAATCAGACTATGTCTGCATGTTAGCAGCACTAAATATACCCTTGTGTGATCTGAATTGCGCCTTTTCTCTCCCCTTTTTTACTTACTTCCAAATCTGAGACCATTCAGAGCAAGATCATTGTTCTGCTTCTATTGGAGTTCTGTAGTGTCAGGTCACATCAAGGCTTTTATCAAGCACCATGTGATTTTCAATTCCCCCGTGGCAGATGCAATAGCTGGTAGAGCGGTGCAGCACTCACTGTTTGTGAGAGAAGCCAGCAGGCTCTGCCAGGTCATTATTAGTGCCAGAGCTTCATGGAGTCATCCGTTGTTAGGATATTCCTCTGAATTTTCTCAAAGAGAGATTATTTACTGCTGTAATTATTTTCTGGGTAATCTACATGTGCTTTTGTTTCCCCTACCGTTCTGAGCCTTTCATGGGTATTATCCGGTGGTTGAATGGACAGGCATGACAGCAGACAAGCTTTCTTATAAGCTAAGCAAGAAGAAAGGAGAAACTAGCACATGGTCTCTACAGATACTTTTAAGGAACATCTTTGTTTTCTGGTTCATGTAAGAATATATGAGTTTACCTTCTGTTCGAGTGTATGAAGGGACTACACAACCTGCAGCACACCGATTACTGGTAGTTTCTTTTTCTAGAAATGAGTGAGCTGATGCGTTCATCTCGCATGTGTGTTAGCAAAGCAACATTCAAAACATTGCCACTAAATTAACTTCTTCCTCTATTGTTTATTTTTATTGGACAAAGGGTTCATTGCATATCTCACACATTCTGCTTTTCATGACCCTCACCTGTCTACGCCATATCCAGTAAAGAACGACCTCGCAATTATAGCAGCTTTTATTTTGGATTGAAAATTATCAATATGAAAATCAACAGCAAATAAGGAACTGAAACTTTTAAAGCATTGTGACTATTGAAATGAACATTGTACTAGCTGCTGTGCTGACTGAATTATTCCTGCTTTTATGCTGCTAGAAAAGAGCTTGTGTTTCAAGATGTTTGAAAGTGATACAGCACTTCTCCCAGTCACTGAATTTTTGTGAGACATTTGCCTTTGCAACAGGAAATACTATGATTTCGAAAACTGAAATACATGGCAAATGTTAAATGGATTAAAAACTGTCTCACTGACAAATTGAAAAATGTGATGTTAATGGACAGACATAAATGACAGGGATGTGTCTAGCAGGGTCTGTCTGGAATTAGTTCTTGGGTCAATAGCACTTAAAATTTTTATCAACAGTCTGGACAGTGTTATAAGACATCTTCAGTAAAGCTTGACCATGACAAAGATTGTCAAAGTAGTAAATAATATGCTACATAATTGCAGAAGCTAATAAAATGTAGTTTAATATTGCTGAAAACCAGCCTTTTGTGTGGGATAGGAAACTAGACATAGTTGCAAAGCTGTGATTTAGAGAAGGACAGGTTGTCAAAGATAATTGGATCTACTTAAGCTCTTTATGCAATGCTGTGGAAGGAAAAAGCACTAATGTATGTATTAAAGTCAGACTGTCAAGTGGAACGAGGTCGTGATTGCCTCTGCATGCTGTATTGATAAGACTGCTTCTAGAGTGCAAAGTCAAATTTTGGTCTCCAGTCTTAAGGAAAATAAGGAAATAGGACAAAAGGAAGACATAGAGATGCCCGGGACCTGGAGATCAGGTTTTAAATCCTATGTAGTTTTAAGAAGTTCGGCTTAGTTTATCATTATGTATGGGTACTTGGGCATGAAAAATATGTTTGTAGGTACGGGACAAGGAACACTTTCAGTATCGTTGATAAAGACACAGCAAAATTCAGTGACTGGAAAATTAAATTAAGGAGAAAATGCAGCCTTCGATTAACTTGCAATTTGTTAGCTTTGAGGATTACTAAATAGTGGAACAGCTGATGTGGGAGGGTGATAGACTCATCAGTGCTAGACAACTTAAAAAAAACAAAGAGGGAAAGACAGAGTGTGCTTGCTGAAAGATGCACAGTAATCCAGCTGCTGGAGGGGACTACACGCTGGAGGTGACTAGCTATTTGGGGTAGCAAGCAAGGTAGTTCTGGCTGTTCCTGGGATCTGTTATTTTTATGATTTCCTTTTTGCAGTTCATGTGCTGCGAAGAGAACAGTCATGCATATTCTGTTCTCAGTCTAAACCATAAGTGATTTAAACAGTTGTGTACAGGCGTTGTGAAGAAATTACTTCCCTCCTGTAACAGGACCAGATAGTTTGCTTGTTCTCTGCTATCTTCTGATCCAGAAATCAGTCAAGATGGAAACTCAGATCCCGGAAAGGTTGATCCAGTCCTCTGCGCTCTAAAGGGAATCTCTCTCATAGATGGTCCCTGAGTATGACCCATGTGGTCACCATTGTAGTGCTCACCAGGTTTTAAGGTGGGAGGGACTTTGCACAGCCTTGAGGAGTGAACAGGAGTAGTCCAGCAGAAGTCATTGGGCTAAGAGCTCTTTCTTGCCTGAAGTGCCACAAAACTGTGAAACCTGGAAGTTTGTCACAAATCCACCTGGCTTCAGAACATGAGAGTCCTGAACACAGCTCTGGGTTCTCCGGTGCCTTGCTGTGTTAGCAGGGCAGGGGATCCAGAAGAATAATTATTTTTCCAACTCTAACTGATGGAAAAGTTAGAAAAGCTTTCAGACAAGCAAACTTCTTCTAGATCTGAAATAGCAACACAGTCTATAGACCAAAATACAGGTTCAGAGCAATTGCTCTCAGCCTAGTTGGCTGTGTAAATAAATTAGACCATCTGAGAGAAGAGGTAGAGGACTGAGGAAAGTATGAAATAAAAAGACTGTTATCTCCATGGGAAAGAGAGGACCAAGATATCCATTGCTTGTTGGAATATGGTGGTATCAGCTGAGGTGGGGGTTCCAGAAGAAGATAGTACTATGTGAAAAAACTGTTATTTGTATTGTGTCCATCTTTTTTAGTATTTAGTGGAATTATAAACCTAGTTTGTAGGCTCCTTTTCAGAAGGTACCCTCCACTGAGTATGCCTCTAAAAGGTCAGAGGCAGAGAAATAATTTACGAAGCGTATTGTGCTCCGGGAAATGAATGGGCAGGAGCTACAGATCTTGATGATGCTGCTCAAATGACATTTATAGTGGGACTTGAGAATACTGCATTTGTTTCTTAGGTGTGGTCTGTTCCCTTTGGTGCATATTGGCCTGCAGGGAATTTGCTTCTCATGGCAGGTTTAGCAACGGTGAGCTATGGGTAACATGTACTTCAGGGAGCCAGATTCTTTAATAGAAACGATTTTTTTGTCCATTCTCCCCTTGTAATATGTAGGCAATATACAAAATGGACAGTGGTTTCTTATTCATATGCCATTAGATTTACGAAGGAATTATTCACTGGTATGTGTCTTCTACTTTCAGTTTATCAGAATTCCTCTTAATTAAAAGCTTTAACATATTTAGCTACACCTTATTTGGGGCTACTAATTTATAAAAGATGTGCTTTGTCATGGTATTTAGAGTGTTCAGCTTACTGTTTTTACGGATGTAATAGATCTTATTTGTACCGGTATATTATTGCTTTTAGCAGTGTGATACAGTTCTTGCCTAGAAGCAGAAAAAAAACACTTGTAGTTTGAGATGGAGTTAAAAGTTTATTGATGATTACTGCTATTGGAAATGCTGGAAAAAATATCAGAGTCATTTTTATTGGTTGGCTTTTTGTCTGTTTCAAGGGGTTTGTCGGGTTTTTTTAAGTTATATTTAATTATTATTATGTTAATTATGACCATTTTCTTTCAGGAATATCAGCCTTGTAACACCAATGCCTGTCCAGAGTTAAAAAAGACAACTCCCTGGACGCCTTGGACCCCAGTCAACATTTCAGACAACGGTGGCCACTATGAACAACGTTTCCGTTACACCTGCAAAGCGCGCTTGCCTGACCCAAATTTGCTAGAGGTGGGAAGGCAAAGGATTGAAATGCGTTATTGTTCCAGCGATGGCACCAGTGGATGCTCGACAGATGGTAAGCAAAGCTAGGCATGACTGCACGATACCTCCTGCTAGCGAGATGTCTGCAGTTCCATTTCAGCACACAGTGGAAGTTTTTGCTTGCTGGTGTTTTGCGTTAACAGAACTAATAATGAAAAGTAGGACGCAGTGATCACAACGGGGAATCTAGCTTGTATTTCTTCTGGATGTAGCTTCATCATTCAGAGTAATCAAGTGTATTTTGCCACTGATTATGAGATTTCCCAGGTTATTTTAATATTCTCTGCAATAGTCTGTGAGCCGTGATGTGGCAACCCGGTTCTCGGAGGTTTCTGTCACCCCCTTGTACTCTCTTGGGTTTTTACTGGGGGAGAGTTGGTGCAACATTAATGTTTTTGAATAATGTTTACCTAGAATTGGTAGTATTGATGCTGAGAAGAAATTTTTGCTCAGTAATTCTAAAGTAACAACTGTAAGATTCATGCAGGTGTTTGACTAAAGGAGTTTATGGACTGGATAATTTCTATTATAAAAGTTTATGTTATGCTATTGCTAGCAATTTAAAATTATGTTTATTTCTGAGATGGAAAACTGAACTCCTTCAAAATCTTTTCAACTTTAGATGACTTTATATTGGAATTATTTTATTTTAGAATTTTGTTCTTGCCCTATCAGTAATACATAGTTTTGAATAAATGTTATGTTTGTATATATAAAAAATAGAAACTAGGAGAACTTCTGACAATCACACTAATTTTATTAATACATTTAATTTATTTTCCAGTTTTAATTATATATCAGTGTTTCTTTTTGTATTTTAGTTACATAATCTTAGGAAATACTGATTTTTAATTATTATATCTTGGCGTTTATAGACCTGCTGTCCACTTACATAGCCTTTTGTATCTTCACAACATCCAGGTTAGCTGAAAAAATCTATAACTGAAGGCATTTGACTTATTTCAGGCCACAAAGACAGAATGGTTTCTGAGTCCTTGGGCTTTCTAATTCTCAATATTTTTTTCACACCAACTATTTTGAAAATCAGTGTTAAGCATTTCCTGCCTGTATTGGGTTTGCATGGCAAGGTTTTGGTAGTGGGGAGAGCTGCAGGGGTGGCTTCTGTGAGGAGATGCTAGAAGCTTCACCCATGCAAGCTGGATGCATAAGCTGACTTTTACAGAATACAGTCAGAAGTAACAGTGCCTACGTTTTGTTAAATAAAGTGTTCAGGCACAGTGCAAGAGACAGGGGTGGGTTCAGGTGCTTTCTTTGCCTGATTAACTTGAAGATTTTTCTTTCATTTCTGAACATCAGATTCCTGAATTTCCTAGTGTTGTAGCTTATTTGTTGCATCTTGCTGAAGCTGCTGCTTTGCTTCATTTGGAAATACTTAATCATTGAACTAATGTATGGGAGTGACCCTGTAGCATAGTAATTGAAATGTTCACTTGGGAAAAGGATTTTTGCTGACTAATCCCAAAACTACTGAATATTTAAATACTTTATATTGAGTAGTTGACAGGGCAGAAACTATTACACATCTGTTCATTCTTCCTAGTGAGTGCCCTCATAACTTTGTCGTTAATTCATGCTCAATCTTTGACTCCTTTTGGCCAGAAAGTCTTTAATTATTCTGTAATGAAAGATCAAACCCAACTGGCATTCCAAGTGGCTGCATTAACCAACATGCTTCTGGTGAAAAGACCTACTGTTGTGTCTCCTTTAGGCACATTTTATTCTGAGCCTGTTAGTTTAGGAATTTTCTGATTATGGTTGTCAGAAGAGTGTGGAGTGGAACATTTAGCGGGGGGGGGGGGGGGGGGGCCGGGCTTCTTGTGTGTAAGGTTGGGCGGGAGGGGGGGGGGGGAAGGGTCTGTTTTGATTTGCTGATGTGCTGAAACTTACTGACTGCCTCTAAACTGCAGAATTTAGGAGCACTTCCCTGCTCCCAGGTTTGGATTTGGGTCAATACACCACCCCTCTACTGCTCTTGATTCCATGGGATGAAAATACATGAAGAAGAGTCATGTAGTGTAGCTGTAGCTTTTGGAACAGAAGGATCTCACGAGGATGGGGAACCATGACTTTTGGCATACACCTTCACAATTTCTGCCTTGATAGCAAGGAAACTTCATAACTTACTTGCACCTGACCAGAGCCTGGATACTGTGAAACATTCTTTTCATTATCTCCATGTTGAACTGTAGCAATTTGCTGGCTTTTATAGAAAGATTAATACTGGTACAGCATGCTTGGCATACCTCATTACCAAAGATGTGCTCGGCACAGATCAATTCTCTGTTCTTTGCAGAAGAGAGCCATTTGTTAGAAATTTTCTCATTGTCTGTAATCTCCCACTGTGCAACTATAGTCATGCCGTGTTGAACAGAATCATGTTTCACTGTCAGAAGCTAGAAAAGCAAACTTTCTTTGCAGTCTGAGCTTAGAGGTAGAACTTCTTGCCAGAAACCCACTAGACTCCTCCTCAGTCTGGTAGAGATTTCTATCTCAATCAACCAAGCAGTAGCATTTGCACACTGTATTCATGCTTTTCTGATTTGAATTTTGCTTAAGAGGAAAGAAAAATACGTTTTGTTCCCTGCCTCTGGGTTTTCATATAGTGCTCAGATAGGGAAGGGAGAACTATTTCAAATAAACTGAGAGAGATTGTGTGCGTTGTTCCACATCTTAATGGAAATGTCTGTACAGTCCAGCATTAAAAGTCTCGAAATTACATCAAAGTAGGCTTCAATGTTTGCTTATGAAACATATTAAAAATCTACATTAAACATACTGACTGACTCTCTGTAGGATTATCTCATATATAAGCACTATGAATTGTATTGAAACTGTGTTTTATTCAGGGATAAAAATTTCACAAGGTATGACATTGCATGATTTTTCCAGGTTGAATTTATCTCACCTAACTCTAGCAAAGACAGCTAGCACCCCTGAGGAATGATGGATCAATCTGAAGATAAGGATTTGATATAGTGGGCATGAATCACCCTCTAGAGGTACCACCCGGGGAGGTTGTGGAATCTCTTTCTCTGGAGATATTCAAGACCTGCCTGGACAAGGTCCTGTGCAGCCTGCTGTAGGAGACCCTGCTTTGGCAGAGGGGTTGGACTAGATGACCCACAGAGGTCCCTTCCAGCCCCTAACATTCTGTGATTCTGTGAAAGGAAACAGCAATGATGAGCTTAGACAAGACACTTGAATTTGACATGGCCAAAGTTAGATGAGGTTAGCTCCCAAAATACCTTCAGAAATCAGTTAAACAAAGACAACCCTTATAATTTCAGTCAAACAGTCTGAAAGAGTCTTTTATTTGCTTTTGTCCTTTTTTTAATTTTTTGGGGGGGTGGGAAGGGAGAATAAAATCTGAATAAAAGTCATAAGTTCCTTTGTCTTGGTTTGGCCTGGATAAATTCCAGATGCCCACCAAAACCACTCTATCACTCCCCCTCCTCAACTGGACAGGGGAGAGGAAATATGATGAAAGGCTCAAGAGTCGAGAAAAGAACAGGGAGAGACCACTCACCAATTACTCTCATGGGTGAAACAGACTGAACTTGGGGAGAAAAGGGAGTTTAATTCATCACCAATCAGAGTAGGATAGTGAGAAAATAAATCCAGATCTTAAAACACCTTCCCTCCACCCCTCCCTTCTTCCTGGGCTCAGCTTCACTCCCGTTTCTCTCCCTCCTCCCCCGAGCGGTGCAGGGGGACAGGGAATGGGGGTAGCGGTCAGTTCCTCACACGTTGCCTCTGCCACTCCTTCTTCCTCAGGGGGGGGACTCCTCACACTCTGCCCCTGCTCCAGCATGAGGTCCCTCTCACGGGGGACAGTTCTCCACAAACTTCTCCAACGTGAGTCCTTCCCACGGGCTGCAGTTCTTGACAAACTGCCCCAGCGTGGGTCCCTTCCATGGGGTGCAGTCCTTCAGGAACAGGCTGCTCCAGTGTGGGTCCCCCACGGGGTCACAAGCCCTGCCAGCAAACCTGCTCTGGCGTGGGCTCCTCTCTCCACGGGTCCACAGGTCCTGGCAGGAGCC